GCTCCAGCCAGACCCAAGGTTGCCACCGCGAGTTGTCGCGGTCGTTCCGCTTCCCACCTCCACGGCTCCGTCCACCGCCCATGGCGTCCCACGCGGCACCGGGAGGAAGGGGAAGGAGACACGCGACCTTCCGGCCCACGTGTGGCAAGGCGCACACAGGGGCGTGAAAAGCCGGAAGCAAGGGCCTGTGTGGCCCAGAACGCGCTACGGGGCTACTCCGTTTGAGCCCGCGCTGCGCGGCAGTCACCTGAAAGGCAGGGGGTTTGAAGGGGGAGCAAAAGGGATAGGGCTTAAGCTCGCTCACTGCCCGACCTACGCCCTGGCCTACCTCACTACACCCTTGCTGCAACAAGCACGCAACGAGTAGTAGTATAGCGCAGAGGTAGTAGACCACAGGCGTAAAGGCCGGCGTTCGAACTGCCCCCCCCACACACCCCCAACATCACCTCCCGCACAGCAAACCGCCCCACGAACACCTACCCCAAACCCCGCGGTCAAGACACAAGCGGTCAAGACAAACACAACTGCGTTAGGGATTAGGGCTCTGGTAGGGTGGTTAGTGTCGGTTAGGGATTCATCGTGTTTTGCTTTTGCTTTAGGCGCGACCTTCCGGCCCGCGCCAGGCGGACCGGAGCTCGAGCCGTCAGGGCCTCGAGCGCCTAAGGCTTCAAGCGCAGAAGCGGCGGTCTGAGGAGCGGATCGACTGCCCTTCCGGCACGCCGTCCTTATCTCCTCCTCAGCCTCCGCATCCGTGAGAAAGCGGCCGTCAACGACCCTGCCTGTACGCGCCGTCAGCTCGTCGACGTAGGCCACCCATTCCTTGGTGAACCTCAGCCTTCGCCCACGGCCCGGCGCATAAGCGCGGTCCACGACGTAACTAAAGTCGTCGGGACCATTCACGGGACCGAAGGTCAAGCCGATAGGGAGGTACTTGCCGCTACGGGCGACAATGGCCAGAACCTCCCTGGCACGCATAGTGTTGCGGATCTGATTAAATCCGGAAACCGCATCTACGAAGCTCTACCATACAGAGCCCACTGCAGCGGCGAGCACGTCCGTGCTCCGCCGGCAGTAATACGTAGAACGCTTGACTCTGGCATTCACCCTGCGGTAATCTACCACCAAGTGGCGTTTCCTCGCCCGCTTGTGGGAAGGCATTTCCTTGGTGGGAAACGGAGCTGACCCCCATGCCGAAGGGCACCGCACGAGCTGGCCCCTTTGGACCTCCTCTTCGAGTCGGTCGTCCACCCACTGCGCCGCTTCCCCGCGGAGAGCATGTGGTTGGGAACTTACCGGCGGGCCCGTCGGAACACAATCGTGCGCGAACTTCCGGACCGTGGTGCGCGCAGTACCTTCGATCCAGAAGGCAGCGGCCTTCCGGCCCACCGTCTCCTTAATTCGGTGAGCCCTGGACGGTTGGGCCCAACCTTAGTCCTTCAATGACCTGCGCCTTATACTCGCGAGTACGGCGGGGATCAGCAGCCACAGCCTGGCCTGCTAACGCCCCAATCCTTGGCGTCTGCCTTCGACCGCCAATGAAACTCCTGGACCTGAGACTCCATTTTCGCCCTCTCCTGGGGAGAGAGGTCCTCTCCAGACTTAACGTCCGGCAACGGGACCTCAAGAGCTGAAGCCTTGGCCGGCTCAGCCGACGATTGGGTGCTCGCTGGAAAGACGCCGTCGTAGCAAGGGGGATGGTCGCCCCTCAGACCAGCATCCGCCAAACACCGGCACAAAGCCGAGGCGAGCACCTTCGACGAAGGTCGGGTCTTAGCGTGCTGGTGCGCTACCCTGCCCAAGGCGTCAGGCTTCGCACGCGAACGCAAACCGCATCCACATTGAAATTGGACAAGCAAATGAGGGCTCCTTCTGAGTGCTTGGATCCCTTAGGAACAGACCCCAAGAGCTGGCAGCGATCAGCACGACCGAACGCCCAAAGGGAATTTAGGCTCCAAAAGAGTACCAAACACGGGAGCCCAGCCCTGGGCCTCCCAAGGCTCCCACAATCCCTCCTGGTCCGAGATAGTCACGAGCATCTGGCGCCCCTTCTCGGCCACCAGAGCTGCCCACCTGCTGACCAGTGAGAGAAACTCCTTTGGGGAGGCCTCTGCCCGACAGGCCCACCAAGAGGCACTTGGGCTCGAGGCTCTCTACGAGCAGGCTCAGGGCTTGCCGGTCCTCCTCACAGAAGAAGTCCCAGCGAACTCCGTAGGAGGAGGAGTTCCTTAATTGCGGCTGGGACGTCCAGCGAACCCGCCGCAACGCCCACACGATCCGGAACGGCCTCCTGAAGGGAGTACCCGGCCTTATCAAGCTTCCGGGCAGAAGAGGCTGCAAGAATCCCGTCCCTGCAAAGATCCACCTTGGAGATAATCTCCTTAACAGTAATGGATTCTATGGCCTGCCTCGTTCCTTCGCGGGTCAGAGAACCGCCTTCGTCCAAAAACGCGAGATGCCACCGGACTCTGAGCCCGGACGCGTGGTACGCAACATGGTCACCAATGCGCAACACGAAGTTGCGACCCCTACGCTTGACCGTAAACTCAACCTGCTTGGCTTCTCCGGCGGCTTGCTGCCCCAAGGAAGGCGGCTGATGTTCCGGCTCGTTGAAAAACTCGATGGGGTCCCTCTTCTCGGGCACCTCTGCATCTTCCGGAACGAGCACTACATCCTCCGCGTGCGCTTCGCACTGCCGGCCTGGTGCCTCTCCTGGGCCACCAGGGACAAGTTCGAGCTGCAACCTGTGGCCTTTAACCGCTACGATCCTCCAAGGGCCGGTCAGACCAGGCTTCCAGGGGACACTCCCCGCCCCCTCTGGCCGGGGCTTGGGGGAGTTCCAAACAACTCTATCCCCAACGCGGAAGCTCTACCGTGCGGCGAGAGCGGTTAGCCAACCGGGCACGCGCTTCACTGCTCGCGTCCCAGTGGCGCCGCACTGCGGCCGCCAACTCCGAAAACTGCTTGAACTGGGAACGAGCCCAGTCCGTAATGGGCTCGAACTGGAGGGCCTCACGGAGGACATCCTTCTCCAGAGGCAACGCAAGGCTCCAGGACCGTTCCAAGTCCCTGGGGGTGTAACCATGCGCTCAGCGACCATGAGCCATTCGCTCCAGTTCTCCATAGACCCGCCGATATGCCGGATAAGGTTACCCAGGACCTTCTGCACCTCCTGGTGGACCCTCTCATTGGAACCCATTTCGCATGGCCTGAGGGCCATGCTGAACTGTTGGGTTGTCCCAAGCATGGAGCACAACTCCAACATCACAGCATTCTTGAACTCGGTGCCTCGATCGGACCGAATGAGCCGAGGCAAGGTCCGGGACCTGAGCACACATCGCAAGAACACCCTTCGGACGTCAGTGTGCGTCAGGCTCTTCATCGGCTCCAGCAGCAACGCGTGACTGAGACAGTCAAAGTAGGTGATGCTATACCGGAAGCCGTCCCGGTCCTCCCGGTTCGGGCCTTCACAATCCACGGAGACCTCCTGCCAGTAGGCCTCTGCAAGGCACTTCACCGGTTTTGCCTCGACCTTGGTCGCTCTAGCCCTTCCCTTGACGCAGGCAAGGCACTTCGAGACCCAAAGCTTCACATCTGATTCCAGACCTCCAGGAGTACGAGACTGGAGCGGCCAGGAATCGCCCGCGTCCGAAGGCCCGGCCAAAGGCCCAGCAAGGGGCCCTGACCAACGATGCTGAGCCGCAGTGACCATGTACCTGAGGTCACGGGACCCTTGACAACTGGTGGCTGCGGCATCTCCTGCAGTTTTGGTTCGGCAACCAGTCTAAAGGCTCCAGAAAGTCGCCGCTGGGGAGGCACGGATGTGCTCCCGAAGCGCGTGGAGACGCTTCGTGCCTCTGCCTATGTTTCACCAGTCCTGTGGCCGCAGAGCGGCGCAGACTGTGTACAGTATCCGACAATGAGCCTCGTGCATAGTGCAGTACGCGCCGTGAAAAGTGCTGCGTACGCAGAGAGTGTAGAGTGCGTTTAGGAGGGTAGGGTTTGTAGGTCTGTTTCTACGGCCTCCGGCCGCCCGCTAACCCTAACGGCTCTATCGCGCTCTCGGCTGAGGGGCGAGTGTAACTGTACATAGTCTGCGGGCTGGCTGTGAAGCTGTGTGCTTTTATGCATGCTTCTTTAATTCGTGTTCCATAACATTGTTGGCTCAAGTGAGCACGGCAGTTAGTCGTAGGTTGCTTTGTGTAGCCTGCGGCGCAAGTTGTGCGCAGCACACCTAGGGCAGACGTTCGGGCTGTCACGCCCGTTGGGCGCGCTTTAGGCAGCGGAAAAGAAGGTCAGCTGCGCCTGCCCTTGCTGTCTTTTACAAGTAGTAGTAGTAGTAGTAGTAGTCGTAGTCGTAGTAGTAGTAGTAGTAGTAGTAGTAGTAGGAGTCGTAGTAGTCGTAGTAGTGTAGTAGTAGTAGTAGTAGTAGTAGTAGTAGTAGTAGTAGTAGTAGTAGTAGTAGTAGTAGTAGTAGTAGTAATACTCGTAGTAGTCGTTGTAGCAGTTGTCGTAGTGGTGGTGGTAGTAGTAGTAGTAGTAGTTGTTGTTGTTGTTGTTGGAGTAGTAGTAGTAGTAGTAGTAGTAGTAGTAGTAGCAATAGTAGCAATAGTAGCAGTAGTAGCAGTAGTAGCAGTAGTAGCAGTAGCAGCAGCAGCAGCAGTCGTCGTCGTTGTTGTTTCGTAGTATGGCTAGCAGTAGTGGTCGTCGGCGGCATCGTCGTGGTGGTGGCGGTGGTGGCGGTCGGTGGTGGCAGTAGTGGCGGTGGTGGCGGTGGTGGCGGCGGTCGTGGGGGTCGTGGGGGTCGCGGGGGTCGTGGGGGTATTGGTACCGGTATGGGTAATGGCAGTGGCAGTGTGTTGCGGCGGCAGTGGCAGTGGAAGTGTAGTGGTGTTGCGGAGGCAGTGGCAGTGTAGTGGTGTTGCAGTGGCAGCGGCAATGGCAACGGCAGTGGTAATAGGGCTCTTCATCTCGCAGATCCGGCATGGCACAAAGACTCCGGCCTCCAACTCCACTGGCCGGGACACCAAGGGCACCAAGGACTGCGCAGCACAAAAATGCACGGGCCGAGGGCCCCCGGGCAAAGCGAGCCCTCGAACTGACAGTCTTAGTATTGCTAGGCGAAGAGAAGCTTGGGCTCGGTAATGAAAGACTCCTTCGGCTGGGTCTAAGTGATTATTTAGCTGGGTCGTGAATGAATGTTTGGTCGGGGTGTGATGGTCGTTCAGCCCGTTGCCATCGCACTAATTGACATCTCGTTTAGCAATATGGGGCTGCTGCACCATTCCAAAAGTATAGGAAGAAAGATAGATCCCACAGCGAAGAGTCCGTGCCAGCTGGAGGTATATTTGTGAATGAGTGCGTGAACGAATGAAGGTAACCATTTTTCGTCTGTATACACTCAGGTGTGCAAGTGCTGCTGTATGCGCGTGTCAGCGCACAACGCTGTTGAGAAGCCATATTGACTGTTGCAACAGGAAGCAAATTATCCCAGCAGCAACAGACCGCAACAGCGTGGGAAATCATCAGCTGGTGTGTACTCGCGTGTGCAAACGAAATCGAAAAGAATACTTTGCAGGCATGAAGCAATGTTGACATGTTGGGCAGGCATAGGCACATCTTTACAGGCACGGCAATTTAGAAGCGGCCTACTTTTCATGCTCCAGCAGTTTGGAATGGCTAGCAAAACAAGGGAGGCCAACATAGGCTGAATCGGTTGGAAAATACCAGAACATATCTGTCGGTGCACTGTGACAGAGTTCGGATTTATGAAAGAAATCGAAATATCGGGCGAATCTTGGCTTCACCTCGACTCCTCGACTGAGTGGGGACGGGGCACTAAGCCCTCTTACCACGTCAAGGTGGATCCTGGGAGGAGGGAAAAAGGGAAGACCTCCTCCCCCCGACGACGGTGCAGACCTCCACTTGTGGACGACGACGACCATAGAGTCCGATCCACATATTACTGCTCGTGAAGTTCACTGCACGCACACATCCCGTAACTTTCCGCAACCCCGTCAGAAGAATCTAGTCACCGACCTTTGGCCTTACCAGATTGCAAACCCAAGCGTAGCCGCTGTTAGGGAAATGTATATAGAAGCTCAACAAGATGTCGGGTCATATTCTATTTCAAGTATAGTAAGGAACCCCAAGAAGAATGTTGGAAATCTTGTAGACCCCTTTATCGACATGCATATACAAATAATTGCCATGGCACGCCCACACCCTTCCGAGGACAAGTAAAGAATGTGGCACATGGAAGTATAAGATGTTACAACTACAAGTCTAAACTCTCCCGCGAACCCTTAGCTACGGTGAGCCCGCACCCCATGAGTTCAGTTCTCGCCTCGTTTAGGGTGGATGTATAGTGCACGATATGCGTATGCCTGCCCAACTCCTCAACCTTGCTTCAATTCCTGCGGAATCTCCTTGCCGATTTCGTTTGCACACGCGACTACATGCCAGCTGATAATTTCCCACGCTGTTGGGATCTGTTGAACACCGTCGGAATCGCACTACCTGTGACCCTGCCCTCCTGTCTATGGCATTGTGACAGGAACACCACAAAGCAAAGTGCGTTTCTTACTATGTTATTTCCTCTGTGCCACAAAGCAAGGTGCGTTTCGTACACTCAGACTGCGCGGCGCTATCTTAGTGGGTGTGGGTGTGGGTGTGGGTGTGGGTGTGGGTGTGGGTGTGGGTGTGGGTGGTTGTTTTTTTTTTGTTTTTGTGTGGTTCTTTGTTTGTTTGCTTGCTTGTTTGTTTGCTTGTTTGCTTGTTTGCTTGCTTGTTTGTTTGCTTGTTTGTTTGTTTGCTTGTTTCCTTGCTTGCTTGTTTGCTTGCTTCCTTGCTTGCTTGTTTGCTTGTTTGCGTGTTTGCTTTGTTTTCTTTGCTTGCTTTGGCTTGTTTGCTTTGCTTGCTTGGTTTGCTTGGCTTGCTTGGCTTGCTTGGTTTGCTTGGCTTGCTTGGCTTGCTTGGCTTGCTTGGCTTGCTTGGCTTGCTTGGCTTGCTTGGCTTGCTTGGCTTGCTTGGCTTGCTTGGCTTGCTTGGCTTGCTTGGCTTGCTTGGCTTGCTTGGCTTGCTTGGCTTGCTTGGCTTGCTTGGCTTGCTTGGCTTGCTTGGCTTGCTTGGCTTGCTTGGCTTGCTTGGCTTGCTTGGCTTGCTTGGCTTGCTTGGCTTGCTTGGCTTGCTTGGCTTGCTTGGCTTGCTTGCCTTGCTTGGCTTGCTTGGCTTGCTTGCCTTGCTTGGCTTGCTTGGCTTGCTTGTTTGCTTGCTTGCTCGCTTGCTTGCTCGCTTGCTTCTGTTTGTTTGTTTGCTTGTTTGCTTGGTTGGTTGGTTGTTTGCTTGCTTGTTTGTTTGTTTGTCTGTGTGTGTGTGCGTGTTTGCTTGTTTGCCTGTTTGCTCGTTTGCTTGTTTGCTTGTTTGCTTGCTTGTTTGCTTGTTGGTTTGTTTGCTCGCTTGCTCGCTTGCTTGGTTGTTTGTTTGCTTATTTCTTTGCTTGTTTGTTTGGTTGCTTGTTTGTTTCTTTGCTTGTTTCTTTGCTTGTTTGCTTGTTTGTGTATTTGTGCGTTTGTGTTTGCGCGCGTCTGTGCGTGTGTGTGTGTGTGTGTGTGTGTGTGTGTGTGCATGTGTGCGTGCACGAGTGTGTGCGCATGCGCATTCGCATGCTCTACTGCGCCATGCATCGTGTTTCCGGGTCCGTGTCTCGTGGGGCTTGATGCGCTTGCATGCATGTACCTTGCGTGCCCCTGCACTTTCACAGCTGGGGCGCTGGGGCACAGACAACACACGAGGAGATCTGTGTCAAAATTGGCACGCCCAGCCCAGTTGAAAGATGGATATCTGAAAACATGAGCGAGGACTGCTGTACGATCTGATGCGCGCGAAAACCACAGCCCCACGACCCAAAGTGTGCTACTTCAGCCCCACAGACCTTCAATGTCGAAGCCATCTGCATGGGTGGAGTTGCAGGCCGTGCCTGGCCGTGGGTTGGCACACGCGGCAGCAAACGGCGCATGTCCACATGTCTACAACTGTCTCTTTCTCCCTCTCTCCCACGTCCACGTGGTCTGATGGTCTAAAGAAGCAATTCTCGCGCAGACATTCCGATGAGCATGACAACGTCGCCTACTTATGGGGAAGACTGGTACAGAAACAAGTGGCCGTCACAACGCGTCGCACAAACGTATCCCCACATGAAAAGATGCTTGTGCTCTTACTTTGTCCTTCCCACTTGTCTGGACTCCACCTTGTGTAACATTGTGACATTTTCCTGCCTCAGGACCGACACCCCCACCATCTCCCACCCGTTCTTCCTCCAGATGCGTCCCGTTGTCCAAGCCTCTTTCTCTCCCTTCTTCCTCGTCTGCTGCATGAATAAAGGAAGCTAATTTTTTTCTCCAAGGCAAATCGGTTCGATCACAGACCCTCACCCCTAGCGAGCTACACTCCATCTCCCGCTTGCTTGCCTGTTTGCTCGCTTGCTCGCGGGTATGGGGACAAGAAGCTTGCAACAGTCTCCTCCCTCTCTCTCTGTCGCTCACTCTCTCTTTCTTTCGCGAGGGTACAGGAAGAGGGAGCGACCCTCTTCTCCGGCACATCGCGCCCTCCCAAAATTGCTTGGGGAAGCCTGGCGAAAGGTCTCGCAATGGCAGACTGGAAACCCTTTCGAAAATGTTCGCCCTCAGAAGCTCGCTTTCAAAAATAGGAGTACGACCAGTAAGATCATAGGTGCACAAAAGTTTCTGTGGCTCGTATCTACATCTGAGCTGCACACCGTTGTTGTTTCAAGTGACACAGCCTCACCTAAAACACTTCAGACCACATTGATGAAGGTTAAGTTCGCTGGGCACGGACTGTTCTACCATTCTCTCTCTCTTGCTTGCTTGCACGACCCACCTCTCGCACTGCTTCTGCTCTCGACTTGTTCCGATTATACAGCAGGATCACGGCCTCAGGATTTGTTTGATCTCGGCGTGGTGGGTGCGACTGGGGAAGTGAGTGTGGAGGCACCTTTCTGGCACCTTTTTTGGGGGCAACCGGTGGAGGCACGTTTTGTGGCGCCTTTTTTTGCGGGCACACTCTGGGGGCGACCGGAAAGGTGAGGTTTGAGGCACGTTTTCTGGTGCCTTTTGTTCGCCTTCCGCCCACATTTTTCTGTCGCAGCATTGCGTTCCGGGTACCTTTTTGGTGGCTTTGTGGCGCCTTTTTTGTGTTTTTTTACTTTTTTGCCTTTTCCTAGGAAAACGCAAAACAAGGCGCCGGCCCCCCCCCCCAGCCCCGCCGGCCCCTGACTCGAAAAAAACGCTCCGGGAAGGCAACAAAAAAAAACAATTTGGAGTCGCGAAAAACCCACCAAACGAGGCAACTTTCAAGATAACTTTCAACTCCCTCCGAGCCTCCCCAAATCGGCAGCTCCGGGCAGGGCGAGGGAAGGGCCAGGGCAGGGCGCGGCAGGGCAGGGCAGGGCAGGGGCAGGGCAGGGCAGAACAGGGCAGGACAGGGCAGGGCAGACCTTTGGGGGCACAGGGCAAAGCTGTCACTGCGATCAATCATCACTTGTTATGCCACGCAAGGCCAAAGATCAGCGTAACGAGAACGACCTGTCAGCGCCAATGACATCGGGTTTTTTCTAAGTTTTTATTGGGTTTATTGTCGGTTACATTTGCCTTTTTCTCGCATTGTGTTTTGGCGGGGTCCTTGGAATCGGCTTTTCCAGACGCCTTGATTCTGCCTTTTTAGGGTTTGCAACAGACACCAGGACTAGCTAGTGCGAACGACTTAAGGCAAAACAACACAGTAGGGGGTATCACACTCTGAGGTCCCCACAAGCCGGTGTTCGGTGGTGCTGGTGGTTCTCCCTCTCTCGCTCTCTCTACGATGCCCTCACCCCGTGCGAGAGTTCGCGCACCTGCGGCTCTTGACAGGTGAAGACATCCCCACTAGGGTTTTCCCGGGAGGCTTGGCTGTACTCCAGAGGAAAAAGCAGGAATATCCACGACCTGCGGCTCTTGGCAGGTGATTTTCCCCCTTTCCAAGTTCGCGGAGAAAGGCTCGGCTCAGAACACACAGACTGGCCAGCGAATCCCTCAACGCAGTAAAACACGGAGTTATTACACCTTAAACAAACTTGCACAACAGCGCCGGTCAGTCCTAGGAGTCAGGAAGAATAACTTGCATGCCCCCACTTCTTCGAGCAGGACTACCTTGAAACACCCTGAGTTGAACGAATTAAATCAACCCATCCTGTCCTCCGAATCCCCCTAGAGGGAGATGTGCAAGGCGCGTTGAAAAGATCTGGGGCCGTCCAGGTGTCCAGCCCAGAAACGTTGGTGCTATGTTGCAGCATGCACGACTTCCCCCGGACGTCAGGAGTCGAGGGCGCAAGGAGCGAGTGTCATCCGCAAGGACAGTAAAATACAGCATCACTCAGAACCTAACCTTCTAACTCGCCCCCGTGCAGAACAAGGCTTTTCACAGACCTGTACGTCCACCTCTCTCATCTTGTCGCACCCCCTTGGCCACTCTCCTACTTCCTGTTGTTCAAAGTCGTTCTCGTGGTCGCTTTGTTGCTCGTGGCCAGAGCAGTGGGACTGTCGCCGTCGCGCCGCCCGTCCACCTCCATCCTGTGGGCTTCTGCCCCCTTCTGTAACGTGCTGCTCGTTGGGCTGTGGCTCTTTGGTGTCTGTGTTGGTCTGCTCCCCTTGCTCTTTCCCCGGTGCAGTTGAAGTTGACGACCTTGCCATCCTCGCAAACGGTCCTGGCAGTTCTGCATGATCACTCTGAGCTAAGCCGGGCTGTTGTATGCTCCGGCCCCCTACTGGCAACCCACCCTCCGAGGAGGGGCCGTGGTCAGGTTTCGGAGGGAGCAAGGCGTGCCCGGGCCACTGAAGGGTAACGGCCGCGGATATGTGACTCAAGCGCCGCTGGCAAAGACACGAAGGCTTCCCAGGAGTGACAGCTCCAGGTCAACCCCGCGTCTTTTTTTCGATGCTCTCTCTGTCCCTCTCTCTCTGTCTCTTTCTTTCGCCAGGCATGAGGGGCGAGCCCCCACCGTGGGGCTGCCCGCTGCTGACGGGATGCATGGTATTACATGCGAAAGGCTAAGGCTACTCGCACGATGTGTGCCTCGCAACTGCCCCGAGCATTAGTCGCAAACATATAACATGGATCACCCCCGAGGCTCACACCCACTGCAGTCTAGTTGTAGGGGCCAGCAAAAGGAAAAAACATGCGTTCATTCACGGCCCATCTACTGCTTTTGAGCAGATGCGGCACACTTCAAGGCGGGTCATGGTTGTAACTAATTGAGTCCCTTTGTGGCAACAAAATTGCAACGGAACTGTAACGGCACTGAAACAATCTCGTTTGCGACCGAATCGGGCCGTAAAGTCTCTCTCTCTCTCTGTCTCTCCCGTTCCTCGGGCATGCGGATTGTTTCGACACATGCAGAAAAAGCACCAACTTCAGCATGAAGAAGATTAGCCGACCGTGCAAGCAACACACACTACAACGCCTGTGAAGGTAAAGAAACGACTAGCTGCACGCATGAAAGCCCAACGTCGTCTATGGACCAACTCGCCCCAGAAGAATGTTCATAGCCCCGTTGTCTCCCAGCACTCGTCACACACCGCACCTCACCTCTCCTCACATCGCACAGCAAAAGCCCCGAAAGAGCATCGCACCAAAGAGCGACAGAGAGAGAGAGAGAGATTGCGAGAGACTTCGTAGATTCTACTCTTGCCGTGTTCACTCATCCTTCCATAGTTGCTTGCCCTCTGCCGAAGACGTGGGCCAAACTGAAGGTGTGACATGAAACGCAGATAGGTCGAAGCTCCTAGACTGGGCTACGCGGCTACACAGAAACCGCGCAGAGACCCTGCACTAAAGCAGAGACCTTTGGAGTTGGAGCTCGGCCTCGGCCTCGAGTCGAGCCTTTTCGGCCTGGGCCTGTGCGGGGCCCCCTTTCCCGTGGGGCCCGTGACAACGTGTGACAACGTGTGCCATGTGTGCCTCAGCCTCTCGTCGTCGCTTCTCATTTTCCTGCACTTCGGAACATCCAGTCACTTCCACCCACTCCACGTTCCCGCCTCTGCCTCTTGTCTGCGCATCTCTGCCTGTCGGCATCAATGCTTTCGAGCATCTCCGAGCTCGTGAAATCCAGCCTTTGCCTCCTTTGCACGAGCCTTCTCCGAAGCTTCCTCCTCGCCGGCGGAGGAGCAGCACCAAAAATCATGACCGAGTCCTTTAACTTAATATCTGCCGTCTGCTGTCCTCCTCTCTTTGCCTCTCCTGCTCCATCCGAGCTCTCTCCTGCTGCAAGCAGCTGAACCCTCTCCGCATGATCCTCTCCGTGACTGAGGGAAGCTTGGAAGCAGTTTGGTGATGTGAAAATCGCAGATTGAATACTCTGAAGCTGGAAAAACTTGGAGACCCCTTGATGGAATTTGGGAACCTGCTGGAGGTCCTGGAAGCTGCTTAGGGACAATCGCACAATACGGCTTTTCACAGGCTGGATTCTCCAGAGCTCGTTCTCAAACACTCGCCGAGCTGCTGGCCAGTCGGAAAAGTCAACAGCACAGCATCAAGCTTGGCAAAATCGCCCATTCGTCTTTTTAAAACGCATAATTATGGGGATCTATGGGGGGATCTATGGACAAAGGAGACCTGGCTTTCCTCACGTCGCTGGACGGCTGCGCTTCGTGCCTCTTGTTCTGCACGGGCTTTTGCGAGAGCCTCCGCTTCCTGCGACGTGGAGAATGAACGGACGCTTGCTGCATGCCGCTGGTGGCACATCGTGGCTCAAGCTGCCCACCTCTTGCCTCCTCTTCTGGTCTCTTGCCTGCATCTTTGCACCATCGCAAGCCGGGTAGCACACCAGTTAGACGGTTTCAGCAAGTGCCACCTCCTCCTCCTCTGCGCGGGCCTTCTCCAAAGCCTCCTCCTCCTCCTCCTCCTCCTGCAGTCGACACACAATCATGAACCCAGGCTTCTGGTGCGCCATGCGCCTCTCTTCGCCGGCTCTCTTCCTCCAGCCGCACCCTTTCCTACCATGCACGACTGGATGTACGTACGGGCCACGACAGCTTAACTTGGTGCCAGCAGTACGACCATGTGCCTCTTCCTCCACACGGGCCCTCTCGAGCGCCTCTTCTTCCTGTATAGAGCAGTCGCCAACCTACCGCTTCGCGACTATGCAAGTGTGCTCGGCGATGTCGCTGCACACGCTCCTCTTGACGGCGCTTTTCTTCTTCTAATCGGGCGCTCTCCTGTGCACCAATACCATTGGAAATTCACTTCATGCAGAGCCCCGGCTAACGCCAAAACCATCAGCTCCTCTGCCCTGGCTTGCTCCTGCACGGACACGTAGGCACTAACAGCTTGACCAACCAAACAAGCAAGCATGCCGAACTAAGCACGAAGGAGTAGTGGCTTGCACTTCGGCAATGCATATACTGCCCGCCTCTTGTCTGCGCATCTCCTCTGCTGCCTGCATCTGTCGCATAGGTCACAAAGCACCAGGCTACCAAATCGAAGACTGCAGTGCTGCATGTGCTGCTGCCAGGAGACCTCCTGTCTCTGCCGCTCCTCCTCCTCCAAGCGGGCGCACTCCTGCATCGACTGACGCTAGTCCGGTACCAATTCCTGTGCTGCGTCGCCACGTTGGACAATGTTTGGAAACTTGGGTCTTACCTCCGATGTCTGCTGCACAGTCTTGGTCCATGCCGCAAAATACAGGCCACGACAGCTTAACTTGGCGCCAGCAGTACGACCATGTGCCTCTTCCTCCACACGGGCCCTCTCGAGCGCCTCTTCTTCCTGCACAGAGCAGTCGCCAACCTACCGCTTCGCGACTATGCAAGTGTGCTCGGCGATGTCGCTGCACACGCTCCTCTTGACGGCGCTTTTCTTCTTCTAATCGGGCGCTCTCCTGTGCACCAATACCATTGGAAATTCACTTCATGCAGAGCCCGGGCTAACGCCAAAACCATCAGCTCCTCTGCCCTGGCTTGCTCCTGCACGGACACGTAGGCACTAACAGCTTGACCAACCAAACAAGCAAGCATGCCGAACTAAGCACGAAGGAGTAGTGGCTTGCACTTCGGCAATGCATATACTGCCCGCCTCTTGTCTGCGCATCTCCTCTGCTGCCTGCATCTGTCGCAGAGGTCACAGAGCACCAGGCTACCAAATCGAAGACTGCAGTGCTGCATGTGCTGCTGCCAGGAGACCTCCTGTCTCTGCCGCTCCTCCTCCTCCAAGCGGGCGCACTCCTGCATCGACTGACGCTAGTCCGGTACCAATTCCTGTGCTGCGTCGCCACGTTGGACAATGTTTGGAAACTTGGGTCTTACCTCCGATGTCTGCTGCACAGTCTTGGTCCATGCCGCAAAATACAGGCCACGACAGCTTAACTTGGCGCCAGCAGTACGACCATGTGCCTCTTCCTCCACACGGGCCCTCTCGAGCGCCTCTTCTTCCTGCACAGAGCAGTCGCCAACCTACCGCTTCGCGACTATGCAAGTGTGCTCGGCGATGTCGCTGCACACGCTCCTCTTGACGGCGCTTTTCTTCTTCTAATCGGGCGCTCTCCTGTGCACCAATACCATTGGAAATTCACTTCATGCAGAGCCCCGGCTAACGCCAAAACCATCAGCTCCTCTGCCCTGGCTTGCTCCTGCACGGACACGTAGGCACTAACAGCTTGACCAACCAAACAAGCAAGCATGCCGAACTAAGCACGAAGGAGTAGTGGCTTGCACTTCGGCAATGCATATACTGCCCGCCTCTTGTCTGCGCATCTCCTCTGCTGCCTGCATCTGTCGCAGAGGTCACAGAGCACCAGGCTACCAAATCGAAGACTGCAGTGCTGCATGTCCTGCTGCCAGGATACCTCCTGTCTCTGCCGCTCCTCCTCCTCCAAGCGGGCGCACTCCTGCATCGACTGACGCTAGTCCGGCACCAATTCCTGTGCTGCGTCGCTACGTTGGACAATGTTTGGAAACTCGGGTCTTACCTCCGATGTCTGCTGCACAGTCTTGGTCCATGCCGCCAAATACAGGCCACGACAGCTTAACTTGGCGCCAGCAGTGCGACCATGTGCCTCTTCCTCCACACGGGCCCTCTCGAGTGCCTCTTCTTCCTGTACAGAGCAGTCGCCAACCTACCGCTTCGCGACTATGCAAGTGTGCTCGGCGATGTCGCTGCACACGCTCCTCTTGACGGCGCTTTTCTTCTTCTAATCGGGCGCTCTCCTGTGCACCAATACCATTGGAAATTCACTTCATGCAGAGCCCGGGCTAACGCCAAAACCATCAGCTCCTCTGCCCTGGCTTGCTCCTGCACGGACACGTAGGCACTAACAGCTTGACCAACCAAACAAGCAAGCATGCCGAACTAAGCACGAAGGAGTAGTGGCTTGCACTTCGGCAATGCATATACTGCCCGCCTCTTGTCTGCGCATCTCCTCTGCTGCCTGCATCTGTCGCAGAGGTCACAGAGCACCAGGCTACCAAATCGAAGACTGCAGTGCTGCATGTCCTGCTGCCAGGATACCTCCTGTCTCTGCCGCTCCTCCTCCTCCAAGCGGGCGCACTCCTGCATCGACTGACGCTAGTCCGGCACCAATTCCTGTGCTGCGTCGCTACGTTGGACAATGTTTGGAAACTCGGGTCTTACCTCCGATGTCTGCTGCACAGTCTTGGTCCATGCCGCCAAATACAGGCCACGACAGCTTAACTTGGCGCCAGCAGTGCGACCATGTGCCTCTTCCTCCACACGGGCCCTCTCGAGTGCCTCTTCTTCCTGTACAGAGCAGTCGCCAACCTACCGCTTCGCGACTATGCAAGTGTGCTCGGCGATGTCGCTGCACACGCTCCTCTTGACGGCGCTTTTCTTCTTCTAATCGGGCGCTCTCCTGTGCACCAATACCATTGGAAATTCACTTCATGCAGAGCCCGGGCTAACGCCAAAACCATCAGCTCCTCTGCCCTGGCTTGCTCCTGCACGAACACGTAGGCACTAACAGCTTGACCAACCAAACAAGCAAGCATGCCGAACTAAGCACGAAGGAGTAGTGGCTTGCACTTCGGCAATGCATATACTGCCCGCCTCTTGTCTGCGCATCTCCTCTGCTGCCTGCATCTGTCGCAGAGGTCACAGCGCACGAGGCTACCACATCGAAGACTGCAGTGCTGCATGTGCTGCTGCCATGAGACCTCCTGTCTCTGCCGCTCCTCCTCCTCCTCCTCCAATCGGGCGCACTCCTGCATCGACTGACTCCAGGGCAAACCGCACAGAACCCCCGGCACCAATTCCTGTGTTGTGTCACTTCCGTACACGCACTGTGTTTTCAGACTCAACCTGTTCTTCTGGATTTAGCTGAAAAAACTCCTATACATTCTTCAAACCCTTGTTCAACCTAGCCACATGCAAGAGTCCATAGTAGTACTACTACATCGGTGAGTGGCGACTACAGCTTACTCAGCTGTCATCGGCCCACACTTCTGTTATAGGCATTGCAAAAGCGTCTGCGAGACTTCCGTTTGAATCTGATGATTGTGGTATGTAATTTGCCTTCAGTGATAATCTAACTCCTTTCCAATCTCGAAGCAGGGTTCACATACTTTGCTGGGATCAATCTCGTCAGTCTGTCTTGCAGGCAGAGGAAGCGTCTGAGATTTCTGCCATGCTGGCCGTTGAGAAGAACTTCCTGGAGGCATTGAGCCCAAAGGTTTGATCGAAGAAAAATAACTTGATGGGCCTTCTGGATTGGTCACCTGTGGACAGCGGCGGTTTGTGCGAGAAGGTCAGCAGGCTTGAGTTTTGAGCTAGCTTTTGTGCACGCAGGCAGCACGTGAAGATTGATTTAGCATTCCATTTCATTCTTTCAAGTCTTCTGAGGGCGAATGACCTGAGTTCTCCGAATCATTGGGAAGAGAGATGCTGGGTTTCGCAACAGAGGAGCCTTGAAGCACATCGGGTCAGGGGGAGGGATTTAAGACGACCATCAGAGAGAAGACGCAAATTGCAAGGATACCGATATGAATCAAGAACGGCAGTTTGTATCCAATCCCATGCATCATTCCTCAGACGACCCTGCAATATAGCTTTCAAAAGGCTCTTGATGGAGTGTTACCACGGCCAGTCGTATTGACAAATAAGACAAACATCGTTCACCCCCACCCACCACATAGCCTGTTCAGAGGAAATGAGCTGTGATCGATCGTTCTTGGCGAAGTATTAGCTTGATGTAGCCGAATTATGGTAGTTGCCCGGACGTTGATTCATGTGTGTTGGGTGTAAAATGCAAGTGCGAACCTGGGTTGTACGATTGTGCAGCTCCGGGATTGGGTTTCCAACTTGTTCTACTTGGGGATAGGTTTGCCGTGTGTCGCAGTTGGATCTATTTTCGACCCACAAAACTGGGCCCCCAAAGATCCCCCTGATGCTAATGATGCGGGGCCCCACTGCCCAAATGTTGCGGGTCACACATGGGACCCATGTTTGATTCACAAAACTGGGCCCCGAAAGACCGTTGATGATGCGCGGCCCCATTGTGCGATTGTTGCGGGCCACAAACAGCGAAGATCTTTGCCCAAAAAAAATCCGGGCAGGAGGGAGCGACTGCTCCTTATTCTACTGTCGTTGCTGCAAGTGCTGCTGCTTTGGCACGACAACAAGTCTTGTAGGTGCAGCTGCAGATGCAGTTCCTGCTTGCGTAAAAAAGTAACAGTAGCAGTTCTTGATGACTTGTTAGTTTTGACACGTTCAAACTGTCATACCTCGGGTCTAAGCTGGAATGCTTGGAATAATAAAGGAACATCAACCGTAGTGCAGGATTGGGTTGATTTCCGATGTGTTGTCGTTCCAGGTTCTGTACCTAATCATTTGGTTATTGGAAAAATAAGCACAACTAAGCGGTGTTGCGAAGGCCCAAACCATGAACTATGAAGTCGGTCCTCACATGTACAAAAAGTTTGCAAACAGAAAGGGACGCTGCGGGCCCGTGTTTTTCCACGCACAAGGCTTTGCGACGATTTGTCGATTGTCGCTTAACAATTTCGCTTTGGAATTATTTAAGATGTGGCACAAATCCCAGTTATCCTGGAGATTGTCGTCAGCTTTTGGGCTAGCCTTCCCCAGATTGAGCAGGTTGCGTAGTTCAAAATTACATCCCCTGAATAAAAAGTTTCAGTACCAATACCGTACAATACACCACTTGACAGTGTGACAGCAATGCTCAGCAGGCAGTCAGACCCATTGCAATCCGGATCCTCTCGGTCTCAATCTTTTCACTGCAGACTCGAGCCAATGTCGAACATGGCACAATCCGAAGGCGAACTCTGTGAATGCCACCGATGATGCAATGCAATCTAACACGGTCCCTTGACAATGCATCGTATGCACTTGTCACACTGCCAAATCTCAATGTGCAAACAAACAGAACCAACGCACGTCCAATCCGCTGCTGGAATTTACCAAGGCAATTCCTCCCAACTCTCATAGAACCAATGAACAGTCAAGCTGTACAGCTGCACTCAGCTTCAGATGTTCGAAGAAAGTAGGGCCAATGGCAATGGCACGGATCCAGAGCTGTCATAAAGCCAATGAACAACCGACGGCTGCACATCAATGTCCATCGAATCCTGGTTGTCCCAATCTGACCAATTGTGCAATCGGGCAATGCAACCTGCTCCGAGAACAATGGCCGACTCTGCTCTCGGGTCAGTGGACACGTTGTTGACCAATCTGCGCGCTGCATCAATGCGGCCTTTGTCCACATTCAATTCACGCACTCCGCACCCAATCAGCCGACAAGCCGACAATATACCGGATACCGAGCAGGCGCTGCCTCTCGGTATGGGTATGTGTCGCCCGAGACACCAGCGACAATTTGCAGCGCGGGGCAATGCAAGCTGCTGTGCCCTTTCAAGCAATGTGCCGGATCTCAGATCAATTTTGAAAGCAATCATCGCGTCTCTGCATGGCAACGGTGCAGGCCCAATACTCCAGACTCAAAGGACTCAATGTGAGACTCCAATTCGGCTAGGGTGCGAATCGCCTCTGTCGCAAGGGCACAGAGAACCCAGCCTTCGTTATGCCGATTCTGGAAGCCACTCAATGGCGGCTGCTTCGCAATCGGGCGATACAGGCTCGAATGCATTGGCATTGCAACTACCGCAATCGAGTCCACCAATGGTTTTCGAAATGGCCTTGAGCAAGCCAATGCATCAATTTTGACGCGAGCCATGGAACCCGAGGAATAGATTCAATTGCTTGCAAGGGAAGTGTTGCAATACCGTCTCGGCAATGCTGCGGTAATTCTGTGCATTCATCCATGTTGCTGCAATAGCAAGAGGAAGCGTAATGAAAAAGTACGCTGGCCATTTCTGTGCTTCGACAAATGCAGGAGTCAACAATCTTGACGACCACTGGTTGAGGTGAAAGCCAATCAATTCAGCTTCCATCAATCTGTCGCGAACGAGCGAACACAATGGCCAATTGATGCCGTCGGCAGGCCCCGGGAGCAATGCATCAAAGGGGCCGAAAGTCCATTTGCAGAAGGTCCACTCAACAGTTGACGCAGCTAAAGGGCAATCTCCATCCGTGCCAATGTTGCTGAATTTGGTCCCAAGCAATCTCTCGAAGTCCGGTCAAATGTCGGGTGTCTCCCGTACGCCAATGCGAGCGACGCGTGCTGACACGGGATTGGGAGAGCCACCGATCTGTGACCCAGCTCTGCACTCCAAATTGCAATGCTCTGAAGAACACGCTCAATGTTCCAGAACCATTTGACAATGCGTGCCAATACTTCACGAGCTGCAGTTCCAACGTCACCACACTTGCCAATCTGGTACTCAATCCAGCCAATCGGTGGCAAGATGAGCTGATCAGCCGATGTTGGCAATCGCTCAAGGTTCCTCAAGTTGGCGCGGAATATTCCGGACAATGCCTTCTTGATCGTCGAGAACACCAATTTGTTTGCCTGCCTCAATTTTGTCTGCAATCTGTCTGCAATCAAGCCAGCAAAGGTTGCCATGGACGGCAGTGTCAATGATCCGGGCAAATTCCAATGCTTTGGCGTGAGAGACAATATGATGCCTTCGCAGATCTCAATGAGGTGCTCAATGTCCCGTCCAGAAAACAGGACGTCGCTACAGCAGTATTCACTCTGTGACCTCAACCACCAGGCTCTAGGCAGGTGGCCTAGCTGACAGCACCACTGACAGCGCGGACCACTCAGAAGTGCTAGTCGCTCGAGTCGCCGCGTCTCCGCCTTGGGCCAGTATGAAGGGCCGCGAGGTCAGAGACGCCACCAATGCCACCGCCTCCGGGTGCCCTCTTGCTGCCCTTCGTCAACGACTACGGCCTGCACCGTTTTCAGGAACTGCACAACTGATTCATCAGCTGTGGCGAGCCTGTTTGGGTGAACAGGAGCATGCGTGCAGGCATGATGGCAAGCAGGGGCAACGGGGCAGGCCTTCCTTCGTCCATCGGCGCCGTGGCAATGCCTTAGTGCGGTCGTGGGCAGTCTTAACGAAGGGCACGTGACCAACTCAGCGTTGCCAGAGACTCGGCGGACCACAAGCAGCTGCCGTAGCCAGTCCGGTGCGTCAGCCAGCAAGTTCACCGATATGCCCACGACCGCAAGAGAGCAGAGTGCTGTTGGGACGTCCAAAGGACTTTATGGTCCAGCACTGCATCAATGCACATGAGGACACTCCACAGTGAGAATTTGGAGGCGCCAGCGCACCCAAGGATGCTGAGAGAGCTGCGCTTCGATGCCCGTGTCGCAAGGATAGCTGCGATGTGTGCCGCCAGGAGAGCGTCTGCATCTTGTAGCTGCGCTGCGATAGACCGGCAGAAAGCCTGGCCCAGCAAGGCGGCTACATCGTGCAGGTCTTAAGCGACGCAGGTCACCGCGAGCCGCCCGCGAGCAAACGGTTCACGGGGTTGCAAGCAGGCCTTGAGCCGGCCGCGGAGTCCTCTGCCCCAGATCTTGAAGCATCACCATCACCTCCGTGTCTGACACCTCACCAAGTACACCCTGCGGGTCCTACTGCCCCTCCTTTTTTAACGGAGTCCGCGACGTCCACTGGCCGCCGCCCTGCCAGTATATCCACACGGAAGCGCTCCACCAGTCGACTAACCAGTGCTTGCCCTCCCACAGTTTGCAGTTGAACTCCTGTTGCACGCCTGGTCCATTGCTTGAAAAATGCGGGAGGTACGTTTGGTAAGCCATCTCCTCTGTCTCCGTGGGCTC